CCCCAAAACCCCAAAACCCCAAAACCCCAAAACCCCTTAAATGGTGCTCAAAATTGCAAAAATTAGTTAAAAATGGAGACAGTTCCAAATAAATGGGATGAATGAGACACTCTCGCACAGAAGGAAGGATTTGTGGAGGAAGAATTGAGGCTCTTGCTTGTTGGTACGAAAAATCTTGCTTACCCATATTATAGCCAAGTTAAGGCTTGATCATCTGAATAAGTTGAGAAATAAATAAAGAAATAGGTATGTTTCCCACACAAGGTCAATGTTTGTATCTCTCGTAGCTTAGCTAAGGCAGATAGATTAGTATAACACTCTTGGAACACTTCATTACATTGAATTTCACACCAATAATTATAGAAGCCAAAAGCATCAAGCAGGAGAGACTGAAACAAGAGAAAATCAGGAAGGAAATCCAAGACGAAGAGATCAAGGATGAAAGGAGTTATGATATAATCTCAGGCATTGAGATTTCAGATGGTAATCAGCCAGCTCACCTTCTAGATGACTATAACGAAGAGAATACCCAGTATACTACCCTTGAGGATATTGGTGTCAGCTCCCAATCTTTAAGCCTTCTTGATCCTCCCGAAACAATTGGAGCCGAAGAGTATTGGCTTAATGATGAGATCATTAATGGCTATATTGAGCTTATTAGGAAAAGAAACGTAAAAGGTAAGCACTCTATTGTCTCTCTTGTACTCAGGAAAGGAACATGACCAAAACTTCGCTTATAGACATTGAAATTTTCAACACATGGGCATACCCAAAACTTAAGCAGCTCCACCAAGAAGACAAGATCGAGAAGTTTGACAGAACTCTGTCAAGGAGAGGAGTCAAAAGGATTTCAGACCTTTCCAAGTTGTTCATACCTGTGAATATTGAAAGAAGCCATTGGCTTTTAATAGTTGTAAATATTGCTTATATGAAATTCGAAATCTACGACAGCATTCAGTAAGTTAGCTATAAACTGACAATTTCTCTGAACATTACTAAACATTATTGTAGAGGATTTGGAAGAGCAGATGAGATACTTACTCCCATCAAAGAAATGATCAACTACAGGTAATTTTATATTACACTCATCTCATGCTTTTCAGACTGAAGAAAGAAGAGAACAACAAGATCCTCAACTGTGATTCAGATTATTGGGATGTAGCTAGTATGGGTAAGCTTCCCACTGACAAATACAGATTGCCCTCAACAAAAGAACGGTTCAGACTGTGGAGTATGCGTATTACTCAACATTAATCTATTGTCCATTGGAAGGATGCTAAATTATAAACTAACCACACCTAAGTGTAAGCTTGCAGCCTCACCAACAATAGCTAAAACAAGAGAAAGATCTTTACTCATCAACCTCCATAGTGCCAAGGAGGACGAAAGCAGGAAGAAGAGGGAGCATATCAAGAACGCTCTCTTGAGAGGATACCTTGACGATGAAAATGATAATGATTTAGGAATGATTCTCTATTCCTCATCCCAAGAAGATACAATTGAGATCTAGCCCATCTCTAGCATAATTTATGTCTGCATTAAATCTTACAGGTTTCAATTTATTTTCTTAACTAAGGGGTTTTGGGGTTTTGGGGTTTTGGGGTTTTGGGG